ATATAAGGAACCATTGTAATACTCACGAGACCTCCCTCGTTCAGATCAAGAATAGAATAAATATTTTGAAATCAGATTCTTGCATCTTCTTTGGGAATTGAAAAAAAACTCAAGTAAATGAAGGCAGAATTTTTTTAAAAAAAGTAAATAAATATCTTAAAAAATCAACAATTCTGGCGAGACGGTCCCGATACTCTTGTGGATGTGATGTGACTGGAAGGGTAGTGCCAATAATAAGGGTAATAGAGCGAGTTTGAAAATTGCTGTAAAATGGAAACGCACCTTTCCACCAGTTCGTGACGATTTTTCTTTCTTCCTTTCACTACTTAGCATTTTTATGTCATCTAGCACCTTCAAACTTCAGAGACGGCTACGTACTGTGAGCGCCAAAATCATTTTGACAGTCAATTCTAAATTCTAAGTAAACAAACTCAATTCTGAGGAAGTCATTAGAATCCATTGCAACTCGAATTTCACAGCTTTGAAGTGTTCAATAGAATTTAGGTGAGAGGAGTTTTTTCGAGCATTCATTTAATCCTTCCTTTGTCGTTTTACCTTCAATGCTTGAACCTATATTTTGGTGCCTAAAAGAAGATGGGCTGCAGCTGACACTCAAATGATACGTACCGGGACCACCCCGCTAGAATTGTTGATTTTTTAAGCAATTTATTTACTTTTTTAAAAAAAAATTCTGCCTTCATTTACTTGAGTTTTTTTTTTTTAAATTTCCAAAGAAGATGTCTCATCAATCACATTGTCTCACAACCTAACTCGTCGATGGCTGGATGTTTATTGTTGGTTGAAAATGTCTACGCCAATACTTTCAATGAGGCGGGAAGCAGTAGGTATTACCCAAATGGACTGTAACTTCCAACCATTTACTCGCAACACTAAACAACTTGCCGCACTCAAAACGTTGCGACTATAAAGGGGCGCTAGCTTTTTGGTGTTTAAAAGGACTTATTGTTGTCAGCTTTGCTCTCTTTAGAATTTTAATAAATGTGAATCCGTTTCATTCAGCGGCAAATCTAGAAACTCTGAATGTACGTTGTCCCTTTAATTGCAAGTCATAAATCCGTGTACATGGCCATCGTGAAAATGTTGCGTTGATACAGCCCACTTCCGAGGGAACGGGATCACGAGTTATGTAGGTAATCAATCTTTTACGATTGCATTAACTCGTTTGAATCACACTGTGTCCTCATTGGAAAATCTATTTTTGATGCAGCTGTGAAGCAGATGGGTTGGTGAAAAGTGTGCAAGGAAGTTCATCAAGACTGGATGAATCTCTCCTCCCTATCAGTATGGTTACCCAGTATAAGCCTACATTGTCTTTGACCAATATGTTAGGTTCTGAGAACGGACGACAAGAGAAACAAGACCCATCTAGGTAGACGCCATGACAGTTGTATATCAGTTCTTTCTCGAGAGCCAGCCCCTCTCGGTGAGCTATACAAGTGTTGCCACATACGGCAAACCCAATCTCCATCTCCACATCGTTGTGTTTTGTATCTGGTTGCCAGATCATTACGATAAAGAATCTTATTTCGATGAAAAGTTAGATTGTTATTTGCCTGAATTCTCAATGCCTCGGTGAAACTCTATGCCCCTCAAATTGTCTCTCTCTTTTCAACTAAATCAATCCGTAAGTTTTTCGAAAACTTGAGTAGGTAGGTACATCGATGACGAAAGTGCGAAACCACGAATCTCCATTTGCGCGACGTTCCAGACTTCCTGTGATACTTTATTAATTCTATGAAAAAGTAGTCAACGTAATTTCTTGAAATTTTTTCCTTGTAAACAGAATAGGTATTCTGTATGATTAGGAATCTCAAGCTATGAAGTTTGCTTGTTTCTCTTTGGAAAAATAAAATAGAAGCGGAAATTCTAAAACATCGGAATTACAACAACGGAATCTAAACAACGGAAATTATATACAATATGACGTGATAGAACTGTCGTAGAAAGCTCTTAAACGCTGTCCGGCTCCAGTTACCTTCTTGTTACGGAACGTCATTTTTCTCAACATAAAATTACAGTCCTTTTACGCAAAAATTAGTAGGTAGTAAGTGTCTCGTCTCCATTGTATGGAAAAAATCGTTTCTCACCTTAACACCCAAAAAAAAAAAAAAAAAAAAAAAAAAAAAAAAACTCAAGTGTACGATAAGGCAAGTCATGATTATTCGTATTCAGTTATTGAACCCTTTATGTCAACTCCACACTAGACCTGAAAATTGTGTTAGGTAACAAAATATTGCCGCTGTCGAGATGTATACTTTCTTAAAAGAATGTCTTAATGGTATGTCAATTTACATCTCATATTTTCTTTAAATTATTATCACATATATGCATAAAATTCTCTCAATTTAAAATAGATATTTGAATCCCGCACACAACAATCCTATATATTAAAATGCAAAGTTCCGAATCTTTGGACGTTAACTTTGAGAGAACCACCGGACCGATTTGCATGATTTTTGTTTTAAATGAAAGCCTCTGATCTGTAGATTTGCATGCTGTGATTGTTTTTTCGATTTTCTCAAATTTTCTTACTTTTATCGACGAGTGAAGTTTAGCTGGGCTCGAATTTTCTCCCATTAATTCAGACTAAAGTCCGAATTTTGGGACATTAACTTTGAAAGTACCACCGGACCGATTTGTATGGGTTTTTTTTTAAATGAAAGCTTCAGATCTATAGATTTGCAGGTTGTAATTGTTTCTTCGATTTTCTCAAATTTTCTTACTTTTATCGACGAGTAAAGTTCAGCTGTTTCGAGCGGTCGTCCGGCCGCTACCTGCTTGCCCGTCCCTAGGTACCCCCCCTCTACGGTCTCAGCCAACCCTCCCGCCACATTCTTTCGGCAATCTCGGTTTTCTTTCGTATAGCTCTCCTCCCACCAACCTCAAAGAAGGAGGTTTGGGTCGCATCGTCGTTCGTCACTCGCCACCCACATTCCTTCGCATTCCCTCGGCTGCTCGGCTTCACAGCTTCTTGATATCCTTGCATCTTATTCTCTGCTGCTTCACTGACCCTGACTTATTAACGGCAGTAGTGCGTATTCCTAACAACACGTATTGTTACATACATTTTATTTATCATTATTAAATAGATTCAACTAATTGCTCTGATTCCAACTAAGCTACTGCACCACCATTGCTAGCTGTGGAAGGCGTCTGTAGGGCGCCTGGAGCAGCTAGTCTTTAATACATTTTGTCTTTGATATGCTCAAACTGCGCTCGCTAGGTAGGTCTATTTAATTCTACGAAGACCAAAATATAAATTTTCTTTCAGCCGCATCAGCAAATAGTTTTACAAGCCAGGTGCAGTGCAGTTTGTATCTTATATCAATCTTCTACTTCTACTAAGTCTAATTTTTCAGTAACTCTCTTAAGCATGCTAAGCAGTTCGGCTCTATAAAACTGTATGAGGGAGAATCAACTCCCACTGACTAACAATTTTGTTTTAAAAAAAAGAAAAAAAGAAAAAGAACATGTCACGTTAAGTACTTCTATACATTGCCACCTGAGGCACCACTGTTGCCTAGCTGTCCAGGGATGTCGGACTTGGCATCTCACAATATTGTTGGAGGATAGGTTACTTGCCCGGTGGTGGCTACCGCCACTCATGATCCTCTCATCCCCTTTGGGAATGACCCCGATATTTAGGAACGCCGATGAATACGGCCCTAGGTCACAGACCTATGACGGTCATATTTTGTGGTACCTACCAAGGTATACATAAAGCACAAAACTGAAGGCGTGGTAAATCTCGTCATGTATACCAGAGCAATCGCGCGTGCTGCGTGCTAGGCGAGAAAAAAACCGCTTATCCTTTGCAAGATGCTCGCGCTGCGGCGGCCTGCGTGCCAAATCTATCGGACCACCGTTCGATGCCACCGGAAACATCCATTTTCCATGGCCAATCCCGCAGCCGCGGGGCCCAATCAATACACCGCGGGTGACAATCATGAGACGAAGGTGTCGAGGATGAATGATGAACCATGGGGCCTAGCTTCCAGCGAGAGTCGGCCAATGTAAGAAAAACGGGTAAGAAAAGAGTAGACCCCTGGAAGAGAGATGGGAGGATAAATTGAGGGGACGGCCGGTGGTTTGCATCGGTGAGTACCTAAATTGGAAATTGAATGAAGCTTGGACTCTGTTCGGGATTAGTTCTCGAGAATATGAGTGCTGAGCGATGATCGTACCTAGCTGAGAGTAAATCTTTCCAATGAGAGTGGTCAGATGAGTCAGCTTGATATCACAATGTGAATTGACAGATTCACCTGTATAATAACAGTATGACAGCAGGATGAAATCAGCAAGTCAAAATTCATATAAGGGTGATTTCAGCATGATAATCTGCCCATAAAATGCTGATTCATTACTGATATCATATTGGTTTATCTAGCCAGCATGTTATGATATGCATCCTTCAAATTGAAAGCCTTCAACTCCTTCAGGGCAGCAGCTGCTCTTGCTTCAGATGCTGATATTGATTCAGCATCGCCTTCACCGGCTCTAATAACAGCTGGAACTACCAGTGCTTTCAGAACGCCTATCGTTGTATCCCATACCTAGATGTTCGGCCGCCAGGACGAAGTTTACGGAGAATTTCCACGTTTTCCAGTTCGTTTTGTACAGTTTACCTGAGCAAACGCTCAACCTTCACTTGGGACTCATGATCACGTTTCGAATAAAACTAAGTAGGCACACGATAATACAAGATTTGCGGTCGCGGCAACACGTGCCCGGCTTCGAGACGAAAAGACTACGTTTTGTCGACGGCTGATCACGTTACTAATTTCTATCACGAACCAGACTGGTTTCCATAATGGTTCACCACCTGTCCGCTAGGAGCGTCACCTCCAAATTAGCTCGTATCTCCCCGTGTGTTGGATTATAACAACAACAACAACAACAACAACAACAACAACAACAACAAATGTGCAACATAACCATAATAATCAAACAAGTGCTTCGTATACCTAATCAATGAATCAATAATGTTCGTGCGGTATTTTTATATTTGTGCTCAGTACCATGTGAAAAGAAACTGCGAAAGATTGAATCTGCCGGGATACTTGAGTTCACGAGCATATACACATTAGCTTCAAAGATATATCGAAGTGTTAGCTCTAGTGTCAGCTTGGATGATTCATAGTGTGTAAGTACCTAATGAGTCATCTAATTTTGCTTGATGTATATACGGAGTAATTTTGGAGATAATATACAATGCATTATTTAATGCATTGGAAATCTTAGGTTTCACCTGACTCAAAGCACTTGCTGCTAATACCCAGGAGTGTTCCGTCTCTTTGAGCGTTCGGCTCACAATCAATTGACAATTTGTTATTGGCCCCTCTGCAATTTTGAGTCTAGCCCGAACATCTTTTAGGAACTCAGATGAATGACCGAGGTAGTGCTTGATGCCAATTTTTACATGATTGAAGGCTTTCCATAAAATCTACAGTCCGTCAAAGTGAGCCGGCCCTCTGTGTGATCTAACGGAGCAAAGTGCTCCTCTTTTGTGCCTCGTATATACCTACCTTGAATTTTGAGTGGTTATTATGCAGATTACCGGCCCCTGGGCATATCGAGTTCCTGATCTTACTGTCAGCAGGAATTGGTTTCTAACTTCACAGGGAGGTAAAATACGGTGGCGGAAACGTCTCAAAACAAATGACACATGATTTTCAACGATAATTTGTAGGTTTAAAGGCATTAAAACGCGATATCGTCGGGTACGCGGACGGGTCATAATACGCCATAGTGAAAAAAAAGGAGGTGTTTGCATTTCGGGCATCTTGGAATTTTTTTGATGACGTAGGTCGGCACAGCGACGTATATCATCGATTTTCTTGGCAATAGTGTAATGTATGGAAAAAATCCATTCTATTAAAAGTGCTTGAAATTATATCATTAGTTGATTCAAGCAAAAAAAATGGGACATAATGGTCCATTTTTCATACTTCGAATCCCGGATTTCGCTGGCTAGGTTGTACCGACCTACGTCATAGGGTAAACTAACCTCAAGATGCAAACACCTCCTTTTTTTCTCTACGATAATAAGCCGTCATGCGGAACAGCAGGGAACTGGTGGCTAAGTGAATCATACTACCAACCTAACACGATTGTTACTACTCCTATCAAGAGTTTGCCGAATGGCGTGGGAGCGGGTTCATTCACTTCGTAAGGGCAGGAGGGGTAAAATGATGCTTTGAGGGTAAATTTCAGGGTGTAAAAGTTATACTTCTTTTGGTGCGTATACGTAGTATACCGCCTTTGCGATCGTTTCGACCCCCTACTCGATACAATAATCGAGTCCCTTGGTTCCTTACCGGAAAGTGACTGCCGCGAACTTCTGAGATTTTCCAAAGCGTGTAAAAAGTTTACTAATCCGTCAAAAATTATGATTTAATGTTTTTTGTCATTCTAGGGCTTTCTAGTTTATGTGCAATGAATACCAAGAGTCTACGTTACTTTTTTTTTTTTTTTTTTTAAAAAAAAAAAAAACCTACGACTGCTCCGCGCTAATTTAAAATATGCATATATAAGTAAAAGCAAACGAACTGATTCGAGGATGGGTGAGCAGTTCAGCACTCTTCGAATGAGAATTTCACTCCTCCGTTTTGTTTAAAACGATGCTTTGACAGATCTCTACACCCCTGTTATGCTTTTCAAAATTTGGTACCACTACTCTGATAGCCAGGGCAGCCGTAAGTGCAATCATTTATAAAACTTTGGCCGAATAGAAGATAAGTTACAACATTCGAAATCCGAAGAAATCAACAATACCTCGACTTCTCCATGCAAAAAGTAAACTTAAGAGGGAAAAAATAAATGTATAATTTACAGTTAATTATAATTGACCTCGGAATCTGACAAGCAATTCCATTACATAACGGAGAAAAAACAGGGGGAACTTACAAAAATTGGTCTTTTGTAAAGGGCTTCCTTGTAAGAATTTTGACCTGAAGACAAGGGTCGTGTAGCAGCAGTACTCCATACAATAGACGGTGTGCCTGAGCGGGTTAAATATTTTTTATATGTCCAAATCGAAAATTACCTATATTTTTTAACTACAGTGTTTCTTGAGTCGTTTAAGCCCCCCCCCCCCAAAAAAAAAAAAAATAAACGTCCGGATCCTGGGAAATAAAGGCGCTTTAAAAGTATTCTGGGGCTGCAATAGCTAAATCACCGGTTGCAAATCCCGTTACATTACTAAAAGAAAAAAAAAAAAAAAAAAAAAAAAAAGGAAAACCAGACTAGTAAACTTCATGGTGAAGAAAGTAACTAAAGTAACATAAAAAGCAAGAAATATTTTATTTTAACTCCGCTGACCGATCAGGAACCACAAACCGAAGCACAGTATCCAGGAATGTGAATTACAACTGATTTGCCGACTAAATTTAGCTCGATATACCTCTGAAATTTACGAAAAATCGGCGCATTATGCTTTTTTTGATGCATAGGTAGATTTATAGGACCAACTAACCAACTGAAAAACCAATGGGAAAGTGAACACTCCGAGCGTCAAGACTTTTTCGGCGCTAGATTGGCTGTTTTTCCCTCTGTGCGTAGCCCCACTAGTAATTTACTATGGCGTTAGATTAATTCTTTGCAAGTTACAGGCCATAATTTGTAAAAAGAGCTAGGCAACTTTCGGGTCGACTTTTTTGGCGCAAGGTTGAAATTCGTATTCAGCGCAAAAAATTACGTAGAAATCACGGAAAACATAGCCACCCTGGATAATTTCAGGCTATGGTTCCTTTTATGGACTAGGTGTTTGCCTGGACTATTCACTGCTCGTCATGTTTTTTTTTTTTTTTTTTTTTTTTTTTTTTTTTTTTTTTTTTTTTTTTTTTTTTACCATTTCAATATTATTATACATCTCACCCACCTCCTTATCTACCCTTCTACTTGATACCTATGCAAAGCTTGACGTGCCTGGAATGTTATTCATAGCAACGTTCTTGCAACAGATATCATCAAACGGAGAGAATTCGCAAACTTGGTGCGACGCGCTGCGCGAAGTTTAAATTGCATCACGCGACGCTCTCCGAACAACCCGTCCGTTCGTTCAATAAAGTTACGTTGATTATATTTCTTCCTTCTATTTTCGGCGAAATACACAGGCACTATGCCGCGGGTATAGTTGAGATTCTCTCTCTATGAACGTGACCTCCGCCACGGAGACAAAAATAATAGATGAGAAAAGCAATCTATATATCTGGCGGGTCATATACAGCTTAAGTTGAATGTAAATACAAGCTGTTAATGCAATAAGAATATGAGATGAGAGAAAAACTTCCAGATGTCAGAAACGCAAGGTTTTTCCCCAAAAATAATTCGACTGTTATACCTTTGGGCCGACTACAATGACATCTTCTCCAGCTCATTTCATCAAAAATTCAGCGATGAAGGTTGAGTCCCGTCAGGGCTGTAGCCAGGGGGGGGGGGTGCAAGAGAGGGCGTTGCCCCCCCCCCTCCCCCCAAGTGAGATTTTTCGCCCCCCCTAGTGATATTGCGAAAGTGATAATGTGAAAAATCTAACTGTAACAGAAGCAAAAATAATAGTACTTCGACTACCAGTGATAAAGAAGATATCGCTGTGATTATTTCTGATGAGTTGGCGCACAAAAATGAGCCCATTAAACAGATAAAACTTTCAATTTAACCGAAGAATAATCAAGGAAGAATGTTTCGATCTGAATGGTATAGTACTTTTCCTTGGCTGGAATATTCACCCACCCTTGATTCTGCCTTCTGCTATGTTTGCCGTTTATACGCTGTTTATACTAAGGAGCTGGCTTTCGTAAAAACGGGTTACAATAACTGGAAACATGCATGTGATAAAACAAAATCTGGATTTCACAAGCATGAAAGTTCATCACCCACATCGAAGCCTTTATGAATGAGCAAAAAAACAAGACGAGAATTGAATGTTTCTGTTGAAACTCTAGTGAATGATAGTGTGCTCGAAAAACGTAGGTATTACGTGAAAAGTATATTCGAAGTTGTGCAATTTTTGGTCGTGAATGAGCTTGTTTTAAGGGGCAATTATAATTTGGATGAACATGTGGAGCAGGGTTTATTTGAAAACCTTTTTGAATTCACTATTAGAAAAGATGAAAAACTTGAAAGCTGAAATTTGTAATTCTAGAGTCATCCCTAAAAATGCAACCTACAAATAACCTGAAATTCAAAACGAAATAATTCAAATTATGACCGAGGCTATTCAAGAAGATGTGGCAAATGAAGTTAACACGTCGGACGTCCCATTGTTTACATTATTGGAAGACTGTACTAAGGATAAAAATCGGCGTGAAAATGTTGCCATTGCTTTGCGCTACGTGAAAGACAAACACGTTTACGAATCAATACTGTCTATCGAGTCTACAGAAAAAGTAGACGTCGAAACATTCACAAATGTAACTTTAGAAGCATTGGAGAAGAAAAACGTGAAACCGGAAAACATGTTGAGCCAGTGCTACGATGGAGCTAGCGTTATGAGTGGCTCAGATGGAGGTGTTCAAGCTCTAATACAGAAAAAGTTGAAAAAAATGATTCCCTATGTCCATTACTTTAATCATAAGTTGCATCTTGTTGTTGTGAAAACCGCCGAAAACGTGGTAATAGTTCGCATCTTTTTTGGACAAACCAATGAACTTTATAACTTTTTGTCACGCTCAAGAATAGCAGCTCATTATAAAGGTAAAGCTTTATCACGACTCCTCGACCAAAGATGGTCTGACCATCTCCATGTTTGCGAAGTCATATACAATGAGTATAACCATATTTTAGAGACTCTCGATCTTATTACCGATAACAAAGAGTCTGAATTTGATGGAGATGAAGTCACTTTGAGTATTGGTTTGCGTAAGGTGATGAGGCAAAAAGATTTTGTGTTTTGCTTGCTTATGATGAGAAATATCTTGCGCACGTTTAAGCCAGCGGATTACAGGCTTTCAAGAGCGTCAAATTACGTTACTGGACGCATCAGATCTGGTAAATTCTAAAACTACAAAAACCCTCAAAAACATTTTTCGGGCAAAAAATCCGGTCGAGGAAATTGACGTGTCACTTCCTTGTAATCAAGTACGACATAAGGCCTCTTTTGACACATTTAAGACGCGCGTGCGAGTCGATTCCTTCAAAGGGCTA